TGAAAGGAATAAACAGAGAAACACCGGCCGTACTGAGGACAGGAGATTCACTCGCTCTCACGTGTCAGAAGTGTATATTGCAGATGTACATGCAGATCGTGACAAAAAAAAACTCTTGCGACAAACCAGAGGGTCACAATCCAACCTTTGGGAAACAATACTGTGTAACATTCCATCTTTAAACTTCTATCATTGTTCATTTTGCATTTTTTTCCCCCCATTATAAGGCTCCTTCTGTCTTACCTTATTATTGAAACCTTATTAATGCTCTGCTCGTTCTTCTTATGCCACGATTTATTTCATAATTGTTGCTTTTGGCTTAATTTCGAGGTGTCAGGAGATGGATTCACCTGCATTCACCCGACCTTTTCCTTTATTTTGTGCGAAACTTAAGTGTTTTGATCCGTACGTCCTGCAGCATCTTCTCCAGCATCTTCTCCTTCGGAAGACAGAACCCACCTTACCTCCTCAGCCCTGAGTCCCAAGAGGAGCAGAGGAGGAGGAGAGGAGGAGAGGAGCAGAAGATGAGTAGAAGAAGGTGCAAAGGAGGGAAGAGCGGAGGAGGCAGGAACAGAGGAGTGGAAGGAGGAGAGACGTGCAGAGGAGCAAAGGAGGGAGGAACAGAGGAGTGGAAGGAGGCAGGAACAGAGGAGCATCAGAAGAGAGAGGGTCAGAGGAAGGTGAGGGGAGGATGAGAGGAGCAGAGGAGGATGAGGGGAGCAGAGAGGAGCAGAGGATGATGAGGGGAGGAGGAGGATGAAGGGAGGAGAGAGGAGCAGAGGAGGATGAGGGGAGCAGAGGAAGGTGAGGAGGCGAGGAGAGGAGAGAGGAGTAGAGGAGGAGCAGAGGTGCAGAGGAGGCTGAGGGCAGAGAGGAGCAGAAGAGCAAATTACGCAAATTAAGCAGAGGAAGCTGAGGGGAGAGTGGTGCAAAGGAGGCAGGAAAAGAGGAGTGGAAGGAGGAGAGAGGAGCAGAGGATGATGAGGGGAGGAGAGGAAGATGAGGGGAGGAGAGAGGAGCAGAGGATGATGAGGGGAGGAGAGGAAGATGAGGGGAGGAGAGAGGAGCAGAGGAGCATGAGGGGAGCAGAGAGGAGCAGAGGATGATGAGGGGAGGAGGAGGATGAAGGGAGGAGAGAGGAGCAGAGGAGGATGAGGGGAGGAGAGGAAGATGAGGGGAGGAGAGAGGAGCAGAGGATGATGAGGGAAGCAGAGGAGGATGAGAGGAGAAGAGGAGGGTGAGAGGGGCAGAGGAGGATGAAGGGAGGAGAGAGGAGCAGAGGAAAATGACGAGAGGAGAAGGAGCAGAGGAAGATGAGGGGAGGAGAGAGGTGCAGAGGAGCAGATGAGGATGAGAGGAGCAGAGGATGATGAGAAGAGAGAGGTGCAGAGGAGGAGAGGAGGGGAGAGGAGCAGAGAAAGATGAGGAGAGAGGAGGAGCAGAGGATGATGAGGGAAGCAGAGGAAGATGAGGAGAGTCCCTGGAGAGGAGCAGAGGAGGATGGGGGGAGGAGAGGATGATGAGGAGAGGAAAGAGGAGCAGAGGAAGATGAGGGGAGTCCCTGGAGAGGAGCAGAGGATTCCCCGGGGAGCCGTGGATAACGCTCAGCTCGGGATCCCCCCCCCCCCCCCCCGAGGCGGCGGCGCATCGCACTCCACGCGCGCTCAGACACGTGCCGCGGCGACCCCCACTCCTCCCTCCTCCTCCTCCCTCGCTCTCCCGCCGGCTCTGTTTTGCTTTGTCACATTGAGAGGTCTTGGAGTGATCAACACAATCAAAAAAATAAAAATAAACAAACAATAAAGACGCGTTTTACCCCTTTTACCTTGAACAATTCCAAAAAACGAGACAGAAAATTCCCAGGTTCGGGCTGTAGTTTAGTAGATTACGCGTTTTTATTCGGAGAAAAGTAGGATGAAAAAGTAAAATCGACGCATTAAAATCGAAATTCAGAAATTGGAATGAAATAAATGTGGTGAAAAAGGCTGGACACGGACGGTCGGATGAGAAGACGCGTCGTGTCCGTGCGTAAAACTCTAGCTCCCTCTGGTGTCCATGACGCACGGCACAAGCGCAGACGCACCAGAAAAGTTTGGGCTCGTGTGAATCTCTACGTGGAGCTGCAGGAATAAAAACAAATCCAAACAATAAAAGGTCACATGCTGATAAAAATGTTATGCGTAAGTGTCTCCGTGATGTTATTGCTTTACCTGGAATGTTCCGTTAAACAAATCCATCAGCATTTATTCATTACAAGTGTTTTTATTGCTCAAAAAGACAAGAATTCCTTCTGTGAATAGGACGACTCTCCACAGATCTGACCTGTAACGTAGCGCAGAGCTGTATAACATTTCACTGCGAATTTTACACTCTGAACTTTTGAATTTGAGGGCTTGAAAATATCTGTATCTGTGTAAAAGGTATTTTGAATATATGGAATATACAGAAAAGGTACAATTTCAGCAACTAAAATTCAGAATAAAAATAATTCAATTCAAAAAGTGAGAAATTCAGCGGTATTTAAAATTCTAAATCTGATGGAACAAACTGTCTTCCATGATCTACCACACAGGTGTCAAACATGCGGCCTGGGGGCCAGATCCGGCCCTCCAAGACCTTTAATCTGGCCCTCGGCTGATTTTCTACTAAAATATTTTAATGATATTTTCTATTAAAATCTTGTTAATTTTCTGTGGTGTTTATCACAGCAGCGTCTCCAGCGTCTCTGTACGTGGCCCCTCCCACCAGAGCAGCACAAATGAAGACTTGTCTCTTTCCAAACGCTCTTAAAGGACGATCGTTTTGACTGTTGACCGTGACACCCTCATCAGAAAAATGTCCAACATGAGAAAAGTGGAGCCGAGTGCAGGATTTTACAACAAAAATGAACTTATTCCTGTTTACACACAAGTTCATGTTAAAACATTGTGTTGAAATTGTATTTTTCTTAAAGTTTCAGATTGTTCATAATATTATAATATTTAGTAAAATAAAGAGTTCATCAATTTAAAAAAGATTTTCTGTAATAGATTTGTGTTTCTCTGCACAAATATTTGAACTTATTGTTATTTTTGGGGTTTATATGACATGAGTTTTCTGATCCGGACACTTTGGGATCGGTTGGATACGACCCCCGGACCAAAATGAGTTTGACACTCCTGATCTACCAGCAAAGTGTTCGCTCATCTGGACTGGTGATATGCCTCCATCTACTGGCAGGAGAGAGAATTACAACAGAGAAAAAATGAACCCTTCCTTGCCCTGACGCTGATGTTGCTGCAGTTAACATGATCTGATGGCAGAAATCAGAAATCTGGGGTGAAAAAGGTGAGATGGTTTGTTTTTTTGTAAACTGGCTACACTGGGGGCGTCTATTTCGCGTTAATACGACCAGACCCCGTCTAAATGAACAACGATTCACCAGTGTCCCATCAGAATACAAATAATTCAATTTTTTCGGATTTAAAAAAATTCAAAGTGAGAAATTCAGCGATATTTAAAATTTAAAATCTGATGGGACAAATTATCTTCTATAATCTACCAGAAAACTGTTCACTCCTCTGGACTGGTGATATGTCTCCATCTACTGGCAGGAGAGAGAATTACAATAGAGAAAAATGAAGCCACACTTGCCCTGACACGTTGATGTTGCTGCAGTTAACATGATTTGGTGACAGAAATCAGGCATGAAAACGAGTTGGGGTGAAAAGGGTGAGGTGGTTTGCTTTTTTGTAAACTGGCTGCACTTGGGCGTCTGTTTCAGGTTCATAAGACCAGGTCGTGTCTAAATGAACGGCGATTCACCAGTGTATGAACTAGTGCTGTAATCAAGACCGCACGAATCGAGACCAAGACCAGAATGAGACCAAGACCAGGACAAAACCAAGACCTCTGAGAGTCGAGCCCGAGACAAGATCAAGACTTTTAAAGGTCGAGACCAAGACCACATCAAGACCATCTTTGTAATTTGACATTTATTTTGGCACAAATATATCATTTTTAAAATCTCAATTGTATCTGATTTGTTAATTTAGTAGGGATGTAACCATATCCAAATCTCACGGTACGACATTTACTGCAATATTTGGAAGAGGCTAATGTAGCTGTAGATGTGACACTTTTTTGCTTTTAAAACACCTTGACAAGATTTTGGTTCCATCATAATCTCAAGAACTCAAGTAAAAAACATTTGTTCATGTTGTCTGCACTGAAATGAATCATGGGAAATAGTTTCTGATGTTCATAAACTTTTGCTACTATAAAACCATGAAATTAAGCAAAGGAACATGTAATTCGAAATATTGTAATGGTCCACGATATTATTGTGAGAACTTTGACGATATATCACATCACGATATTTTAGTTATTGTTACATCTCTATAATTTAGGCCCAAAATATGCCAAGCAAACTGTACTGCACTTAACACGCTCTCCTCGGGGTCACATTTTTTTCCTTCTTGCTCTTGGGGCGGGTCAATCAGACCCAAAAATGTATTTTCTTGCCTGGCAAGAATTTATTTGAAAGTAAATTTTTTAGTCTGATTGACCTGCACCAAGAGAGCGGGAAGGAAAAAAATGTGACCCCGAGGAGAGCGTGAGGGTTTTTAAACACTCTGTGGCCCTTTTTTGGACCCTCACCCAGTTTGCGAACCCTTTAATAGAACTTCCACTGGCACTTTACACAAAACTCACCGTCTGAAGCACCGGTACAAGTTTATTGCCAAGAGCAGTGTCTGTAATGAAATGTTCGTACCTAAACTTTTCTCATCGAATCTATAAAATCCACGTCCTGTAGGTCATCATTTCCCAAAGACTGGGTTGTGATCCACAGGTGGGTCACAAGAGATTTTTTTTGGATCTCCTTGTCACGATGTGCATGTTGGTCTGTGATATACAGTTCTGCCTCGACTCTCCTCCTGCACCCGGACTGAACACGCTACAAAACACACACAGGCCCACCTTTCTCACTAGAAACGTTAAGACATTTAAAGTCCAAATAGTCAACGTATGGATCTTTTTATTCCTGTTTTTCATAGTTTAAAACTGGAGTAAAACTAATTGTTCAGACACACGATCACTCAGTCAACAATAAAATATCCTCAATAATGTTCAATAATTCACCTTTATTTTGTGATTTACGAATAATGTCTATGGACTTGGATGGCGAAGGTTTGTCACTTTTAAAATATGAGTTCCCAGAAAAAAAGTTTGGGAATCACTGATGTGGGTCACACTGCTGCAAATTTCTCCAAAAAGTGAGATTGTTATGCCTGAGAAAGCTCAAAAAAGTGTCAATTTATGGACTTAAAATGGAAATATTTCTACTTATAACGAAGTCCACATTGAAACCAGTGAGAATGAAGCTAAAAAAACAACTTTAAGCTCGTCTTTGGCGATGGAACATGCTTAAAAGTAGGTACATTTAACATTGTATATTAAAGCTAAAGCATGCATTGAAAAATCTGGTGCGTGCGTTGAATCCGTTCGTCTGAGATGCGAGGAACAGGCCACACGTGATCTTTGTGGAGCATCTTTATTCTGCCACAAATCAAAGCCAGTAGTTCTGAAAGAGGAGCTTGCATTTGGACTCACGGACAGAGACATGGCGTGTGAGAGAGGGTGACCGCGCGTGGTGGTTCTGCCGAGTGCACACATGTTAGCGAGGCGTGTGTGTTTGTTTGTGTGTGTGGACGGGTTCGGGCTCGATCAGAAACTCAAGAAAGGAAAGGGTCCGATGTTTTACAAACCAGGGGAATGCACACGCTTCTGCTCAATATATCACATTTATTACCTTTGAACTGATTCATGAAACGAGTGGGGGCAAAGCCACTCCGATCACTGTCTTTAGAAAAACGCAGGAAAAGAGAAACAAAAGAGCAGCCCGTAGCGTCGGGTTCGTCCGGGGGGGAGAGACATAGAAATAAAGTCTGATGTTTTTTTGTTTTTTTTTTCCAGACAGTAAAATGATCAACTTAAACATTTCAACCCATTTCGACAACCCCCAGACACTACCTTCCCTATTGCATCCAGTCAAAAAAAAAAAAAAAACAATACGAGGCCGATGAGCAGGAGCAGTCCTCTCAAAACAGAAAACGGTGGCGAGCGACGCAGAGCTGGAGCGCCCCCTGGAGTCTCCACCGGTACAGTCCAGTCCGCACAGGCTTCTCCACAGAGGCATGGGGGTCAAAGGGGAACTCAGAAAAAGAGACAAAGCGCCCATTCTTCACTTTGGAAAACATTAGAAGCCAACGTGAAACATTTCTGTTGGATTTGTGTGGTTGGAGAGAATTAAGAGACTGGCTCTTGGACCATAAAAACAGAAAATGATCCTCTTAAAAAAAGGAAAGCAGCATATGAGGGAGAAAGCATATGTAGTGGAATGGGGTGGGGCAAAAAAAAAAAAAAAAAAAAAAAAGAGTTCACCTAAGGGCGCTATGCATTAAGTTGTAGTCCTATGAATATTTGTTTCCTTTTTCTTTTTACTACAAGTTCGAAGTAAGTCTTTAAAGTCAAAAGAAATCAAGAAAGTCTTCATTTAGTTTGTTGTCCGTGTTAGTTCATCACCCCTAGTAGAATTAGAGATCAGCAGAGAAAGGTGGTTGGGCTTTAGGCCGTAGCAGTCTTTAGAACGCCTACTTGACCCGTCCCTGGCGCTCCTGAAACAAAAAGGGAAGCACGTCAGTCACACGAAAAAAAACAAAACCAGTCTGACACCGCGGCGCTGGAATAACTGCGGCTCAGACGACGTCACGACTTTCCACGGGCCAATAGTTTTTAAAAGAGGCGGGGCAGCTCTTTGTTAAAATACAGATTTAGGTTGTAAAAAAAGCAGACAGACAGACCAGGGTAGGTAATTATTTTTTCCATGGGGCCAAATTTGAAAGAAAATATCGAAGAGGCCAAAATGCTTAACTCAATTCTGCAGAATATTAATTGTATTTCTTTATAAAAAGCAGTAAATCTCATTGTTTTGACGAGCTGCTCAGACTGGGGAGAGTTTATGTTCTGACTCAGCACTGAAAAAATTTGGTTGCCTTCCAAAAAAAAAAAAAAGGAAATTAGAAAAATCAGTTTGTCGAATGGAGAATAGTTTGTTTGGTCGAATATGTTTCGTAGCTCATCCACTCCTTTTTCGGACACAAGTAAAATCTGTGCGACATTTATTTTCGCTTATTGTTACAGAAAAGAAATATTTACTTTACGTGTTACATCTATGTATTTATGTTCGATGTTTTACTGTCCAAATAAACATTCATTCATTCCTGAGCTGAAGTCGACAAACTGATTTTTCTCCTTTGCTGTGGATTCTACCTGAACGACAGATTTTTTTCCTTACAAAAAAAAAGTCATTTAAAAACAGGAACTAACTAAACGAATAAAAGCAGTGCAGTTTTAGTCCAGACATGAGTTAAAATTATAAAATGTGTTTATTTTGTGATACCAAGTTGGCTTAAAAAGGGTCGTATGTGGCTCGGGAGCTGCACAATGCTCAGGTTTGATATAGGCGAGTTTCATTGTTGACAAAAGCGCGCGTTGCATGATGGGAATTATTTTGGTCGGCGGCAAGAAACACTAATTCAACATGACGGACGGAGCGAGAAAGCACGTAAAGGGTATTGATCCCGGTTATTTATCCACTCTAACGACAGAGGACCCAAGACCATTTGACCAGAAATTGGTCATAAGCATCGACGGACGACAAATCACCCTTTTCAACCCCGACAAAAGGTGGAACAAACCAAATTTCTGGTCTGAATCTCCAACTACCTGGACAAATATTCACTTGGGCGACATCCACAATGACTTGGTGGAAACTCCTGGGCCATTCACAGCAGAAAAGATGAAAACCTCCAAGAGTCTCGATGTGTTGTTGAACTTGTTGGAGTCCAAGGTTTGTTAGGATCTTCTACGTTTGCTCTGCGGATGTTTGAAAGTCGTTTAATTCACCGTTAGTGGTTCTTTTCACTCGGAATAAGAAAAAGACATTTTCCTTCTTCCGTGCTTCTATTTGTGCATCCGATAATGCAGCAGGAATTTACCATTATCGGGGAGAAATACGCGAGGTTACGCACTGTGTTTGACGCTACCGTGTTTCTTGCCTCCGAACAAAATATTTCCCAGCAGCAACGCGGGCTTTTAATAACAATGACGTCAGCTGAAACTCGCCTATAGACCAGGCATGTCCAAACTATGTGGCCCTCAGACAAATCTTCCTTAACCCTTAAGCTTCAAGGTACACTGGCCCAAATCACCTTTTAAAAATAAAAAAATTACTTTTTACTGCAACCATTTTGAAATCTACCTTGATAAAGCTCATATTTAATATTTAGTGTTTGGTTTTAAGCAGCTTGGCATAAATAAAGACTGATGGATCATTCTAACGTGTTAAATATGCACATATTTCAATTATTCACTGTACTGAGCATCAGTCTACAGCCCTCGATCGGCCTCTGCTTCGTCTGTGTTTAGATATGTGGCTCTTGATGAAAAAAGTGTGGACACCCCTGATATAGACTGACCAGGACTGGGATATTTCACAGGAAAATACGAAGTTATCAAGAGAGAAAAGTGGCTCTTGTTCCCCATCTAAGAAAAGAACACATTTGAGAAACTAAAAACCACCAGCACAGTCTAAAAGTCAAGAGAATAGTGCGCCAATCTAACCCAGCACTAAATAATAACTCTGCGCAGTAGGGACGTAACAATATCCAAATCTCTCTGTACGATATTTTCACAATACACATCTCACGGTACGATATTTACTGCGACATATCCTACCTTTTTTACCTCTTAAAATGCCTCGACAAGACTTACTCCAAAGAACTAAGACTTAAAAGTGTTAGAACTGTTATTTCTTCTTGTCGTCTGCACTGAAATGGAGCAAAGGATCGTGGTCGATGTAGTTCCCTCTGTCTTTTTTTATCTATTCCTGCACCTTAACTCTTAATTTAAGCAGAGACTTGTAATTCGATATATTGTGAGAACTCTGACAATACGATATCATCATATTTCAGTTTTTGTTACATCCTTACGGCACAGAGTTGTTTTTTTTTCCCCCATCAAAATCGGCTGCTTAAGAGTTATCGCCTTCACACTTTGACGCATTGATCATTTGACTCTGTAGGCTGTAAACGGTGAGTCTAGGTCACAAACGCAGACACTTCTAGGAACGTCTGAATGCTTAATGACCCTGTGGTTTAGAGATGTTGAAATAAGTGCGAGCTAAAACGAGTGAATGATGTTTCTGTGCACTTTGAAGACTGGAACAGGCCAAACCGTATCAGTTCTTCGCGTATCTGGGCCAAACGATGGTCAACACGGACAAAGAAAGGGATGTTTAAACGGATTACAACAAGCGTAAGTAACCGACTAAACCTGTTTATTTTTTTTATCTTTTCAAAGTGCACAAACATAAGGGCGACTCCAGTTTAACTCTGATCACGAGAAAATATGGAAGCGGGAGGAGTTATTTGAGTTGAGCCACTTCAGTCTGACGCTCTCGTCGCCGACACAACGAAAACGACGCCGTGTTCTCGCCAGTGTCGGGAGTAACAGATTACATGTACAGAGTTATGTAATCAGAGTACAATTTATGAGTAAATGTATTCAGTTACAGTTACTGTTTCAGTGAGTGGTAATTGGATTACAGTTACTTTGAAATAAATGGATTACACGGCGGGATTTTCACATTTGGGGCTATATACCTTTTTTTCCCCTCGGTAATTCCACTCATAGCAAGACACGAAAATAGGCCTAAAACCAGGACTAAAACCAGGTCTAAACCAGGACTAAAACCAGGTCTAAAACCAGGTCTAAAACCAGGATTTAACAGGACTAAACCAGGTCTAAAACCAGGTCTTAAACCAGGTCTAAAACCAGGTCTAAAACCAGGACTAAACCCAGGACTAAAACCAGGACTAAAACCAGGTCTAAAACCAGGTCTAAAACCAGGACTAAAACCAGGACTAAAATCAGGACTAAACCCAGGACTAAACCCAGGTCTAAACCCAGGTCTAAACCCAGGTCTAAAACCAGGACTAAAACCAGGACTAAAACCAGGACTAAAACCAGGACTAAAACCAGGACTAAAACCAGGACTAAACCAGGACTAAAACCAGGACTAAACCCAGGACTAAACCCAGGACTAAACCCAGGACTAAAACCAGGACTAAAACCAGGACTAAAACCAGGACTAAAACCAGGACTAAAACCAGGACTAAAACCAGGACTTAACAGGACTCAACCAGGTCTAAAACTAGGTCTAAAACCAGGACTAAAACCAGGACTAAAACTAGGACTAAACCAGGACTAAAACCAGGACTAAACCAGGATTTAACAGGACTAAATCCTGCTGTGCGGACCATGTTTCTTCGTTTTCTATCAATAATATTTTTAATTTGGTTCAGTAAAGTCTGGATTTTTTATTTTCTTTTATCAGACAAAACTTATGTGAAGATTTCCTCGTCTTTGCTTCTCTACAGCAAATCAAGTAATCCAAAGTATTCAGATTACATTACTCACTTTAAGTAATTTAATGGATTACGTTACAAACTACATTTTGGTGTGTGTAATCTGTAGTCTGTAGGGGATTACATTTTAAAAGTCACCTTCCCGACACTGCTTCTCGCCGTTAAAATGGTTAAATCTGTGCGTTACCTGGATCCTGTAATGACTCCGGCTGCTGGGGTTGCTGGGATATGGCTCGCTGCCCTGGACCTCCACCTGTCACACACGGAGAACAGACTCAGCACAACACAGTTCACAGTCGCGGCGCGCGTCCGGATCGGCGTTTACGAGCTCGACGCGCCTCTCGGAAAAGCGTCGCGGTTTGTGGACTTCTTAAAAACGCTCCTCCGCTCACCTACACGGGCGAGGGTAAAAGCGACTTACCCGAGAACAGGGCCCCGTATGAGGTCGTTAATCTTCCACACTGATGGACGAGAGCTCTGATCACTGAACCACCGAGCCACAGCCCCATCGTGTTCTCATTTCAACAGCACATGCACAGTTTAGGAATATTAAAAGGTCAAGTTTTGGACAGTAACTACAAACTTAATCCTCCTGCGCCAAGATAAAGTCGCGGGTTAAGGAATCTATTTGGAATAAATCATAAAAAACATTCACTTTTGTCAAATTCATGTTTAAAATATAATATAGATACAGAGGAGGAAGTAGATTAACAAAATAGAATCTACCCGGTGTGAGTTTTGTCCACTTAACTACTTTAAATGTTCAGACGAGGGGCGTGCAAAAATATTGAAATATCGATATATCGTATCGTTTAATGTGATGATACAGTATCGATATCGTGGACCGCTGTATCCATATATCGGCAAGAGTCATTTTTGGTATATTTTACTCAATTATTTTGTGTAAGAGCTACGGAAGTGTTGACGTTTTAACAATTTTGATGAGTAAAATTGGTGTTTTTCAAATAAACTTCGCACAAACTTGGTAAACTTTTAGTATAACAGCCGTGAGTTAGCCTTTTTTTTTTTTTTTTTAAACACTGAACCATATCGAATCAACGTGAAATATATTGTAACGGATCCTATCGAGTGGAAAACTCGCTGTATCGCAAGCGTATCGCATCGCGGCCTGCGTATCGAGGTTCGTATCGTGTCGACAGCTTCTTAATGACACCCGGCCCTAGTTCGGACCTCTGACTCGCTCTAACAAGACAAGACAGTGACGTTTCTCGAGTTTATACAGTTCAAAAAGACACTTGGAGCATTTAATCATGGGATAATCCTCATCAGAAACAGTTGTTTACACGTGAACGAAACCAGTCACCCTCGTGCCCCGCTGCCGCTCAGTGTCTCCGCTCTGAACTCCTCCGGCTCTGGGGTTTGGAGTCATTACGCCGAGGACTCTTGTTCTTGTAAGCCCGAGGGGGTTATGGCCGACAAGTGATCTGATTGATTCATTGTGCAGCTTAGCAATTATACAGCTATCTGCTCCTGTTTTTAACTTGATAAATGTTTACTTCAGTTCCGCACAACTATCAGATGGAGGCCGAGCACACACCCTCGCATGGAATTTCATGCAAATCAAGGTCTGGCTTTATAACAGGTTTACACTGTCCAAAATGAAACCACATGAAATGACAGGGCAGTCTGAGGCTTAAGTTTAATACGTCTGAATCATCATCACACAAGATTTAAACTTTGGCCTCGCTCTACACGCGTGACCACAGGACAAACGGGAGAGAGTCCAGTCAGACTGGAGCAGCACCAATAACCAACATGACAGTTTACAGGAGAATAAAGACGTCAGGATTGAGTTACACTGATATGAACCATCCCTCGGTTACCTTTTTGACACACTCCTCCTCCTCCTGGCGTTTCTCGTAGTGGGAGAAGTCGTCAAAGATGGAGGTGGTGTGCTTGTAGGCTGCCATGATCTTGAGCACCTGCCGGGCCTTGTCCAGGGGCACCTCCTGTGTGTCCCTGGAGTTGGTGACGGGCTTGTTTTCATTGTTCTCCAGCCGGATGTGCCTCAGCTGACTGTTGGGAACGTCCTTTACAAAGATCCAGCGCACGTCAAAGCGGCCCTTCCACTTGTCCTGCGCCCACACGCCCGCTGACGTGTTGTAGTCCACGGGAGAGCGCATCTCCGCCACGCCACAGAAGTGCCCGCTGCCGTTGACGCTGAAGAGCAAATAGAGCGGGCCCTTGCCCCCCAGAGAGCGGTAGGCCGCGTCCAGGCGCTTGTTGCCGTGCTCCGTGCTGCACCAGATGTTGTACTTGATGGAGCGGTGGATGTCGTCCTCAGAGTAGCTCTTGATGATGAACACGCGTCCTTGTTTGGGGTTCCAGTCAAAGTCCTTGGGATTGTAGTTATTTACCATTCGCAGCTTCTCTAAGACGGGGTGAGGTTCAGAAGGGACACCTGGGACCACGGGCACTCCGGCGGAGGAGGGGGGGGACTGGCCCGACCCGCTCCCGCCGGCCTCCCCGAAGCCGTTGGTGCGGTTCCGAGGGGGGATCCAGCGGGTGGGCTGAGAGGGCTGTTGTTGGCTGGGGGGAGGGGGACCCTGGGACAGAGGCTGTGCCAGAGGAGCCATGGCAGGCTGACCCGCCTGCAGCTGACCCATCTGGGACACGGGTGGCACCAGCTGCCCGTTGCTAAGGGGCAGCTGGGGAGTCCCGGCAGCAGTAGCGCCGGGCTGGGGGGACGCCTGGTTAGGTGGCTGCCCGTTGGTGGGGGCTTGAGGCACCTGCTGAGGCGTGGCAGCCTTGGGCATGCTGCCTTTGTTGTCCCACGTGCCGATGTCCATGTTGTGTTTAATGGGCGGAGGAGGCAGGTTGGCGCCGGCCATGCCGCCCTTGGTTTTCAGCTTGGGCTGAGGCTTGGCTGGTTTGCTGGCAATGTCTGCCCAGGAGGCGGGCTTGGCAGGAGCTATAGACACGGGAGGCATGCTGGGGGGCCCCACAGAGGACACAGGACCCAAGGGGCCCCCACCGGGTAAAGCGGAGCCAACCACTTTAGGAGCAATGTCCCCGTTTCCCCCCGGAGCCGTGCTGCCGATCTTCAGTCCGGCCATGCTCTGGTCCAGGCTGTTCATTCCGGGCGCCTTGTTCAGAGGCTCGTTGGCCGGAGCAAACGGGGACTGTCCGTCGATCATAGCGCCTCCTAGGGAGCTGGGGGCGTAGGCGTAGTTGCTGCTGTAGCCGGAGCTCTGCGGCGTGCCCGACTGTCCCTGAGAGCTGCTGCTGCCCCACGCAGAGAAGTCGATGCCGCTGGGGAAGAAGTTGAAGCCGTGCTGGCCCAGGAAAGGGTTGCTCCCGAGAGGACCCGGCTGACCAAACATGGCGTCTGGGAGGTAGTGGGGCTCCCCGTTGCTCAGCTGTCCATAGGAGGCCAGGTAAGGCATGGGAGGGTCTCCGCCCGTGGACCATGCTGCCTCGTTCAGGGAGTAGGAGAATCCAATGGAGGGGCTGTAGTAGCTGGGCATGTACGAGTCTGACATGGCCGTATAGGCATTGCTCTGCGGGAAACAAGGACAAACGTCAGTCAAACTAGAGTAGGAACATTTTGAGATATGCCAACTAGAAAAATAAGATGACGGCACATAACAGTTCTAACATTTATAAAAATAACCAGCTAATATTAAAATATTTTCAAACCCAGACTCTGGAAAAATAAATGTTCTCGTTACTAAGATGATGAGCCCTGGTTAAAGTAACAGCCCAGCGCTCATGAGCAGATGTTCAACACTAGTGAAATATAGAATGAACTAAGTAGGACAAATAAGGGTTGTTCTAGGAGACAAACGCAGACACCACCAAGACCACTGAGGCAGCTGCACAGCCTCGCTCCCAATACTCATTCCTGTTTGGTTAGAACAGAAAAACATCTGTAGTGAGGACAGACCAAAGCAGCCTAAACGTACAAGGGACTCCCCAGTGCAAGGCTGAACAAAAAAAACAAAACAGATAGACAATTAAAATAAATTCATATTGATTTATCTGGAAGAAAATCAGTTTTATTCCTCCTACTTCCCCCCAACCAGGTTCCTGTGGGCTTCTGTAGCCGAGTCTTGTCAACAGCAAAAAGTGTTTCCAGAAAAGACTACCATAATTTCAGAACTATAAGCCGTTAATTTTTTCTCACGCTTTGAACCTTGCAGCTTAAACAACGAAGCGGCGAATATATGAACGGATTATTTATCATCAACACAGAGGATTTGCAGCCCGAGCGAAGGAAAGAGGTAAAACTTGAAGATGCAACGTCAGCTCGCGGTGTTTGTCAGAAGTAGGAGTGTGCAAAAATATCGGAATATCAATATATCGTAACGTTTAATGTGATGATTTAGTATTGATATCGTGAGCTGCTGTATCGATAAATCGCCAAGAGTACTTTTTGGTATATATTGCTAAATTATTTTGTTACAGCTACAGTTTTGTCGTTTGTTCAGAGGAAGGAAACTCGTTTTTGCGACACATTTGACATTTTCACCGTTTTGATGATGAAAATGTTTGTGTTTCATACGAACTTTGCACAAGAAGTGGTTTAAGAAAGACTTTTTGTGTCACAGCCTTGATTTAGACTTTACTTTTTATCGAACCGTGTCGAATCGATTTAAAATATATCGTATTGAAACAAAAGTGCACTGTATCAAATCGGCAACTTCTTAATGATCCCCAACCTTAGTCAGCACTTAAACAGCGATTAAGTGACAAGTTCTGGCGCTAAATGAACATTAGTGAGTGGGATACGACTCAATGACCCGTTAAATCATGTGAGTGCGTAAATGACGAGAAGAAACGTCTCAAACTTTAGAAGCTGGACAGAGGCTCTTTCTTTCAGAAGAGCAGAAAGCGACGCAGTCTGATAATCCGGTCGTTTTACTGCCGTGTTACAGACGCCGTTTCAAAAAAAGCATGTACCAGTATTTAAATAAAAGTTTAAAAAAAATTGCATGTTGTTAAAATCACATTATTGCCGCAACCGTTGTCAATTATCCTTGGTGCATCAGTAGGATTTAATAATCTGACATCAGCCCAAAACTGTTCATTCCCTATTTTATTATTAATGCAAAAAAAAAAAAACTACTGTGGCTACGAGACCTTGTTAATATTTTACATCTAGAGAGAATAGATGAATCACGAATTTTGGACTTCCGGTCATCGCGCAATACATGCCGGGAAGGATCCTCCGAAAAAGTCGTTAGTTTGTTTTGGGATTCGGACATTGTAAGTGTGTGGATGCTGGATCCTAACAGCGGAAACTGGCTCGAGAAATTTGTTTGTGAACTCCATAAATGCAAAGTGAATCAGATGTGTGTGACTCAAACCTCAACCTTCAAACTGTTCCTCTTCCCAATGGAATTGAAAAATAGTGAAAGGTGAAGGCGATGGGCAGGATTGATCCACAGGAAGAACCAAAAAGGAAACATTTGTCTGTCTAAATCATCCTGAGTTTGTATGTGGAGCAACAACAAAGCCAAATCCCGTTTGTTAAGTGAGACGAGTAGAAGACAAACAGACTGAGCTGCACTTTCTTGTTCTTGTGGTTTTACAGAAACATCACGTCTTGGTCTCTTTGCAGTGGAAGGTGTTTCTTGTCGAACAGTTGGAGACTTTCACTTTGGCGTTGACTTTTTAAATTCGTAACCAAACGAACACTTACAAAATCTTCGCTGCAAACTCGGGATTATTTCTTAGACAGTTGTTTCCTTTTTGGTTCTTCCTGTGGATCAATCCTGCCCATCGCCTTCACCTTTCACTATTTTTCAATTCCGTTGGGAAGAGAAACAGTTTGAACGGAGGTTTGCAGTCACACACATCTGATTCACTTTTGTTTTTATGGAGTTCGCAAACTTCCGAAGCCCATTTCTCGAGCCGTTTTCCGCTGTTAGGATCCAACAACCACACAATTACGATGTCCGAATCCCAAAACTAAAATATGACAATATCAGAACCAGAAACAAAAGTGATATGGTTCAAAAGACTTGAAAAGATCGACTTTGACAATAGACACATCCCACTGGGGAAACAAACATGGAGGTTTGATGCTCACTTTTTCAAAAAATCCTTCCCAGTATGAATTGCACGATGACCGGAAGTCCAAACTTCGTGATGCATGTGTACAATATTTGTCAAAGGATAAACTCATGTCATTTAAGAACGCGTGGCAATCTCTTTTACAATCTGTTACTATGTGAGGAACTTCTCTAAATTTTTCTCAGTTTTGTGAGATTTACTTCTCTTTTAACTTTTATCTACCAAAAAGCAGTGAGCGCTGTTGATCCTCTACAATTTGAGTTGTAAACTGTTTTTGCCTCAATAAAAATGTTGTGACTAAAAAAATCTTTATGTAAATGTCAAGTTACAGCGTGGACACCTGCGGCTTAGACAGGTGCAGCCTATATATGTATGATTCTATTTTTTCTTTTAAAATTTAGCTGATGCGGTTTATATTCATTTGTGCTCAATACTCAAGAAATTAAAGTTCTTGGATTAGAGTTGTGATGATGATGGGTTGAATATAAAACAAATACATTTTATGCTGCTTTTAGACTTCTTCCAGCAAAAATAATACTTTGATCCTAAATTACCTCACTATTTACTGCACTAAAACAACTCTACATAGTTTTTGTTTGGACAATTTTCTGTAGCTTTGGTGGAAAAATAAAAATCAAATCGATATTTTTAGGCAAAATGGCCAGGCCCTGGTGTATTGTTCGTAATGGTAATTAACCATGAGTCACATCTCAGCAGATCTCGCACCGCTGCAGTGGAAAGTCCCGGCAGGAGCTCACCTGTCGGGCCTGAGTGTTCAGGTAAGGCTCAAACTCATCGTCATTCAAGGTCTCCTTTTGGGTCACAGCTCCGTTTTGCACTGAAAGCACAAGAGATTACGGTTATTGTCATTGTTAAATAACAAACGCGAAACACGGTTCAGCAACTCCCAGGTAAAAAAGCACACGGGATTATGGGAGAGTCCGACTTTAACATTAATAAAAACACGCACGAGGTTATTAATAATTATGTAATCATTACCAGCACTGACGAACTAACAATTAACACTGGCATCTTTACTGTGTGGAGATCACTGAAATATTTGAATAATTTACTGTCCAAGAAACAAGCGCTCCAACCAGAATAAACTGAATTTAATGTGCAGGTGAGTTTGTTTATTAATTATTTGAGTTAAATGTTCATGAAAAGTTGCAGACAATCTGTATTTCACAAATATAAACCTGAACAGGAGACCATTTTAACTGCAGACATTTTTACAGTAAAGCTTTAGTCACACACTAGAGATAATAATCACGTTTTAAACAAATTATTTATGAGTTTTGCATTATTGGGTGGATGTGCAGTTGTGTCTTGTCAGTGTGACTAACACGTTGCTCATCTCCACTAAACCGGGTTCCTGAGGTAAAGGGTGAGACATGTCGTGTCCTCTGTCCTCAGGAGCTCAGTTAAACACGCGGGACATTGAGCCACAACAGCTGCACGTGTTACGCCAAATCTCCCGGGTTTGGACTCAGACCGCGGGGTTCGACTTGTCACTGAGCAGAACTGAGCTGCACTGAGCTGCTCGGGCTGGCGGAGTCTGGGGTCAGCTCCGTGCGCCAACACTCTCCTCCCCGGGACACACGGGGCTAAGCCCGGTGCTGCAGCCGGAGGAGGAGCGTGCTGCGCGGGCACATGTGGCCTCCGGGCCCGCGGGTCCGTGTGGAGGGGCACGGTCTACGGGAGCGCGGAGACAGGCCCAACTTCCGCACTTGGCTCCAGAGAAGCCTGGCATCTCCAACCAGGAAACTGGCCCAGTGCGCGGCGCGCTGCGGCCAACTTTAGCCCGGGCACGTTCTGCGGCGCTCGGAGAAGCGCCACACGGCCTCACAGAGTCCAGGTCCGGTCCGTGTTTGAGGCGGGAGACTGTGGAGCGCCGTGTCCGTGCGCGTTAAACGTGTGCACACTTCGGCGTGAGAGTCAGTGAAAGTTTCGAGCGAGGCCCGAGAGGAGCACGCACTTCCACACCGCACCACACGGAAGCCCCGGGCTCGGCTCGGCCCCGGCGCGCTTACCTTTGTTTGCTTGGCCTTTCGGTCTCTGGATTGGGTCCAGGTGATTCATGAAGGTTTGATTTATGAGAGGAGAGGAGGGGGAGAAAAGATGAAGATAGTTTGGAGCAGTCAGTCCGTTCGCAGGTGGTCAGGCCTACTGCACTAGAGCCGCTGTGGAGCTAAGCTATCCGGTTAGCCGCGGCGCGCTGCTCTGGTGTGGCCTCGGTGCGATCACAAATGTCCGCGCTGGAGCTGCTCCTCGAGGCCGCTGGCTGACATGTCTGTGCGCCCGGAGCCGGAGTGCGGGGTTTGGGCCTGGCTGGAGGCGGCGGGAGCAGCGTCTGTCACTGTGGGAAGTGTTTGTGTCCGGAGCCGATCACACAATGGCGGGCTGCGCTCATGGATGTGCCACGGGATGTGCGCTCTCACTGCGCTGCGCTCACGATCAACATGGAGGAGGCCCACCGCAGGACTTTATGTGCGCGGCTGTGCGCCCCCTGCCGCCCGGGAGGAACACGCACACCGCGGGAACGAGTCACTTCACCACACTGACACTCAATAACATCAAATAAAACTCAGGAGAGAAACTTTACTTGTCACACACATTCCAGTGTTGCAACGCACAGTTCAAGAACAGCAGATGAATATATAAAGGGAAAATAATTACAGCCACAAAATGCTTTTCCTGATCAGTCACTTAATCAGCACCTGTCAAGTAAAACACAGTCCATTAAACTACAGACATAAGTTACACTGGTACTGTCATTAGGTTATCATAAATAAATATGACAAGATTCTCACATGGTTTTGTAAATACACGTGGGTTTAAATCAGTCCTCTCATCATAGTCGTCGATGACTTTAATATAGAGGATTTCTCTCAAATTTGTAAAGTGAGCCACTAATTTAGGAAATGCAGGCACTTTATCCTTGGGTTTGAATTGGCTTTGTGAATTTCAAGTAGGAAAAGCAAAGGACAAATTCAATTCTGTCAACTGGACAAAAGATTTTTGATTGAGTATTTTTGATCAAGTTGACTGAATTGAATTTCTGTTGCTATGTATTCCAGCTGGACGACGGAGAAACTTCACAAACTATTCATGAATAGGCCTCACTGTCACGTAGAATGCAGTGTTGTGATATTACCACCAGGTGGAGTCCTTGCACAGTCAGAGGAAAAGGCTCCTGTTTCAGGGAAGCTCCACCTTCTGCTGAACTGTTGATGTGGTAAAACTCACAGACGCAGGACCGACGTGTCACCACTAGATGTCAGTAGATCATCGCACACCAGAGGAAAAAGAGGGGCCACAATATTCCAATGTAAGTCCAAGGAGGCCGGGGTCAGTAGGACTTTGAAGCGCCCCCTTGTGAACTTTGTCCTTGAAACATGGCGGCCAGCACATTAGATATGTTCATTTATATAAACAGTCTATGATCTGATAAGAGAATCAGTCTTGAGATACTTGAGTTTGCAAAATCCATCTTTCTGGGCAAAGTCCATCCTGAGCAATAACAGCTCTAGATCTGGAGTTGGGTGTCTGCTGATCCTGATCATGTTGTCCCTGCAGCATTGAAGGATGGGTCAGATGCACTAAAGCAGTGGTCACCAACCTGTAGATCGCGATCAACAGTTGGATCTTTGCCGTGTCCCTGGTAGATCTCCGGCTTAATTCAACAATTTGTGATACTCGATGTGCATTGAAAGTGAGCGCTTACTTTGGTTTAACTTATCTGCGTGAGGTGGTCTTTTCACAAATGAAAATCATCAAATCCAAGCACAGAAACAGTCTGACTGACAGGCACCTCACAGATCGTCTCAGTTTCGCTGTCTGCAACTGTAAACCAAACTTCAAAACATTATCCAAGGAAATTCAGACTCAGCCATCACCCTGAGTTTGATAATAATAGAACTTCTCTCATTAACCCTTCGATATACTGTTAATGCTCTTTTGGTTGCTTTCACTGCATTTGGTTTGTTTTGCAGTTGCACATGTTTTCTTGCAGAGAGTGTTTTAGTCCTTATTCTGTAATGAGTGTTCCTTAAGTAAGATTGCAAAAATAAAGCTGTCTAGAACTATAAACATGATCACTTTTGTTGTTGTTATTTACGTTCATGTTGGTAGATCTTGCTCTTTTCTCGGACCAAACATGTAGATCTTTCTCTGAAAAAGGTTGGTGACCACTGCACTAAAGCATAAGCTTAAGATGAAGTGTTTAATTTGAGGGAATATGTCACTGTGTTCAATGAGTAAATATAACTCCAGATTTCATATTGGCTTTACCTTTTCCTGTGTCTTATGTCCTTTTTCCATTTTTAGTTTCCCTTTGGCTCAACAGATTGATCTCTAACCTCAAAGAAAACATTACTATAACTATCATCTATTCTATTTTATTTCATTCATCCATCCCAGATAAAAATGTGGAGTTCTCCTGTTGTTTTTAAGCCCATAAACCAGGGGTGTCCAAACTTTTTAAATCAAGGGCCACATATCTAAACACGGACAAAGCAGAGGGCCAATCAAGGGCCTTAGACTGGTGCTCAATAAAGAGAATAGATGAAATATGTGCATGTTTAGCACGTTAGAATGAGCCATCAGACTTTACTCCTGCTAAGATCCTTAAAACCACACGCTAAATTTTAAATATGAACTTTATCAAGGTAGATTTTCAAAAAACTTGCAGCAAAAAGTATTTTTTTATTGATGCAATGTAATTTGGGCCAATTCACCTGAACGTCTGAGGGCCAAGAAAAATGTGTCTGAGGGCCGCATTTGGTCCCCGGGCCATAGTTTGGACATGCCTGCCATAAACCATCATTGGATCGCAGGGGTGTAAGGACTTTATTTGTTTACTTTGTCAGTGTTTATACCTGTTGCTGCCAGCGGGGGGAGCTCTGAAACCTAACTTCTTGATTTGAAATGGAGGTGCAGTTAATAAAGAACATTTTCCTAAAACAAATATGATTTTAAGTCAGAAAATGTGAAATACTTATCCCAAGATGAGCAAAAGTGTGTTTAAAATGGAATTAAATACACGAAAAAAGGATAGTATGTGTAATTAATGGGATATTAAGCACTAACACGGCATATTTAGATCCCAGATTTTGTGTATTTATGGATCATTTCTGTGTGGGCGTGTGGGTGATTGGGTAAATTGGGTTGAGCATTGCACAGGATTGTTCTTAATCCCTGACCTCAAAGACACATTACTATAACTATTGTCCCATCATCAAATACAAACCTGGAGTTGCATTTTATTTCATTCACCCATCCCAGATCAGGATCATGTAGAGCGGGTTCATGTGAACATTTTAAGACCAAAATGACGAGTTTCACAGCTGCAGGTGCAGAGAGAGGAGCCACGATATTCCAGCATAAGTCAATGAGAGCCATGGTCAGAAGGAGCCTGAAGCGCCGCCATGCAAACCGTCTCTGTGGAACGTCTCTCCTTCTTCTCTTTCTTTCCTCTGGCTTTGTGTTCGTCTCTAATGAGCCTGTGTGCGGACGCTTGTATACGTGTGCTTCACATTGTAGTTTAGCTTCACCTCAGAAAACCCTCACTCTTCACGGTACAAATAAGCAGCTCCTCTCAGGACGGACGCGCTGGTTCACACTTCACATTTAAACAGGTTTCATTCTCTTCTTTCCAGCGCGTAATCCTGTATTTGCATCTGTATATGTCTTTTGTTTGGGGCGGCGGTCGTGAACAATTAGACCAACGATGGTGACGTGGAAATAACTCATTATGTTTATGACGACACCGACATCGAAACACGAAGCAGAACGTTTTCATATCATGACAATATCAGATCTATAGACTAAACACACGCATCAAGAATCTCGGACTTCAAGTCATCGCGCAATTCATAGTGGGAAGGATTTTCTGAAAAAGTGAGCATCAAACCTCCATGTCTGTTTCCCACTGGGATGTGTCGATTGACAAAGTCGATCTTTTCAAGTCTTTAACCATATCACTTTTGTTTCTGGTTCTGATATTGTCATATTCAGTGTTGGGAAGGTGACTTTTAAAATGTAATCCCCTACAGATTACAGATTACACACCCCAAAATGTAGTTTGTAACAGAATCCATTAAATTACTTCAAGTGAGTAACGTAATCTGAATACTTTGGATTACTTGATTTTCTGTAGAGAAACAAAGACTCAGAAATCTTCACATAAGATGTTTTGTTTCTTAAAAGACAATAAAAAGCCCAGACTTTACTGAACCGTATTAAAAATATTATTGATAGAAGAAGAAGAAACACGTCCACGCAGCAGGATTTAGTCCTGTTAAATCCTGTTTTAGTTCTGGTTTAGACCTGGTTTAGACCTGGTTTTAGTTTTGGTTTAGTTCTGGTTTAGACCTGGTTTAGACCTGGTTTTAGTTCTGGTTTAGTCCTGGTTTAGACGTGGTTTAGATCTAGTTTAGACCTGGGTTCAGTCCTGGTTCAATCCTGGTTTAGACCTGGTTTAGACCTGGTTTTAGTTTTGGTTTAGACCTGGTTTAGACCTGGTTTTAGTTCTGGTTTAGTCCTGGTTTAGACCTGGTTTAGACCTGGTTTAGACCTGGTTTAGACCTGGTTTTAGTCCTGGTTTAGACCTGGTTTAGACCTGGTTTTAGTTTTGGTTTAGTTTTGGTTTAGTTCTGGTTTAGACCTGGTTTAGACCTGGTTTAGACCTGGTTTTAGTCCTGGTTTAGACCTGGTTTTAGTTCTGGTTTAGTCCTGGTTTAGACCTGGTTTAGACCTGGTTTTAGTTCTGGTTTAGTTCTGGTTTAGACCTGGTTTAGACCTGGTTTTAGTCCTGGTTTAGACCTGGTTTTAGTTTTGGTTTAGTTCTGGTTTAGACTTGGTTTAGACCTGATTTTAGTTTTGGTTTAGTTCTGGTTTAGACCTGGTTTAGACCTGGTTTTAGTCCTGGTTTAGACCTGGTTTAGACCTGGTTTTAGTTTTGGTTTAGTTCTGGTTTAGTCCTGGTTTAGACCTGGTTTTAGTCCTGGTTTAGACCTGGTTTTAGTCCTGGTTTAGTGTCCAGCAATGAGTGGAATTACCAAAAAAAATAAAAATAAAAATAAGGGATTTAGCCCAAAATGTGAAAATAGGAAAATACTGTCGTGTAATCCATTTATTTCAACAAAGTAACTGTAATCCAATTACCACTCACTGAAACAGTAACTGTAACTGAATACAGTTACTCATCATTTGTACTCTGATTACATAACTCTGGTACATGTAATCTGTTACTCCCCAACACTGGTCATATTTTAGTTTTGGGATTCGGACATCGTCATTGTGTGGTTGTTGGATCCTAACTCCTAACTTCATAAATGCAAAAGTGAATCAGATGTGTGTGACTCAAACCTCCGTTCAAACTGTTTCTCTTCCCAACGGAATTGAAAAATAGTGAAAGGTGAAGGTGATGGGCAGGATTGATCCACAGGAAGAACCAAAA